TACCTTCTTGGCGCGCAACCGATCGATAGCGATAGTTAAATATTCAAAATTTTCATCATCGACCGATAGTGATAGTGACGCATTACCATATCGGTTGATAGTGATAGTGTGAGACCGGATTATCGCCGATACTTCGATAGATCTAACTATCGGCGCAACCGATACCGTGCCTTGACATTCACTTCGGTGGAAACCGATCACTTCTAGCTGGGTGCCGGGGTCTTGACCCGGTCATCCCACTACTGGGCTAAAGCTAATCAAGCTGCCAGGATAACTGAAGTAAACTCAGCCACTTTGAGGCTGGTCAGCAGGGCTGAGTTCAGCGGTCGGGATGCAAGCACAGAAGAACCCCGAAGTGAATTGTAAGCTGTCCGTGTCAAATCGAGCACCACCAGGCCCAAGTGGGCAAGGTGGATCCACAGCAGAAAGTAAAGCAACTGAAGAACCGAGACAAGCAGATTCCCACGGCGGTTTGAGCATTGAAGAAGCATATAAAAGAACCCCATCGTCTGGCGGCCAATCACGGATGTCTGCAGCACCAAGTGGTGGAATCGAAGCAAAGAGATCTCCAGTAGACCGACGGGCGGTGGCTCCGGGCTCAACCAGGCCCCTGTCACCACCGCCCACGGCAACCAGAGATGCCGTAGCGCTAGTCAGCAGAGAACAACAAAGCACGGAAGCCATCAACGCACACCGGAGAAAGCTCGGCGGAGTCCGGGGACGGCACATCGGAGTCAGACTGCCACCGGCCGTTGGCGATGCTCCCCCGTCAGAGTCACGCTCAAGAGTGCCGAAGGAGCCAAAAGCCACCCGCCGCCCGCCGTCAGAGCCATTGTCAGAGCCTTGGTCATTGTCAGAGCCTTCAGAGCCAACGTCAGAAGTCTCAATCCTCATGCCAGCAAACAGCGGAGCCGGTGCAGAGTCGCCGAGCTGGAGTGACGGGACAGAGCCAGGCAAGCCGAGAGAGCCAGGGACAACCACCGGCGGGTCATGAGCCGCAGGCACACCACCAGCCACGAGTGCAGAGGGATGCCGAACCGCAGGCGGTGGCGGAATCGAGCCCCGTGCATCCGAGTGGAATGTGGCCAGACCAAACTGAGCCATGCCGTCATCGTCAGCCGCCGCATCCTGAGCGGAAGCCGCCGCATCCTGAAAGTGCCGCAGAGATGTGGGCTCAGCCGTCACAAAAGAACATGCTGACAGCTCGCACACCTCTGGGCGACCCTCCATCGTGCAGAGCGACTCGAAGGCATGCTCATCCCCAGCGTCATAGAAACGCTGGAAACGAACAGCCAAGCAGTCAGTCTCATAGTCCTCAACTGCACCACAGTAGTGGGCAGACTGAGGACCGCCGTTGGGGCATTCAGCATGCCAGTGCTTCAAACCACTTTGTGCACACTCCGCATTTCTGCAGTGAGGCACGAAGGCACCGCTCTTCTTGTCAAACGAGACAGGAGGAGCGGTGCCAAGTGGCTTAACACCAGCACGATGATGCTTAGCAGCAGAGCGGGTAAGGTGCTTGCCCGCAGGCGGTGCCCCTTGCCGCTTCTGCCGCTTTAGGTCACGAATGTCCTGCTGCATGCGCTCCAGCTGCTTCCGCAGACTGGACAACGCCGCAGCTAGGTCAGACGCGCCATCGCCGAATGACAGAGCCGAAACAGGGGTGCCAGGGACTTTCAGGCCGTGGCGGAACTGCTCCTGCACACGAGCCTGAATAGTCAGAAGAGACACGCCCTGCCGCTGGTCAGCTCGAGCCAAGGAATTAGCCAAGTCAAGGTACAGAGCCGCACCGCCGAGAGCCTTGAGAAACTGCCGCTTCACCGCGTCCTCTGGCAAGTTGTGGGAACGCTGAACGTCCCGCAACAGGCCATTGAACTCACGGATGTCACGGTCAGGATCTTCGCTGCTGAGGATGCGAACCGCCAGCAGCGACTCAAAAGAGTCAAAGGGTTCTGAGCGTTCCTGGAGCATGCGCACCACCTCAAGGGCAGCGCGCTTGCCATCTCCAGGAACGTCAGACCCAGAGGCCTCAAGCCAGTCACGAGCAGGTGAGCCAGGGCGAGCCAGAAACGTCAGAGCCGAAAGCAGCAACTCGTTCCCCTCATGCCTAGCCGCAACAGTCATGTCAGTCAGGTCAAAGAGGGGAGCAAGTGCCTGCGACTGGAGAAGGAACTGTGCCCGAAGCTCATGCATGATCTGCGAAAAAATGTCGACTGCGTCGGACTCTGTACCAGCGAAGCGGTCCGATTTGTCTCCGAGAATCTTCGTGGCAACGATTTTTGCGACCTTTCTGTCAAAATTGTCGCGAGCAAGCTGCTGACATTTGTCGAGAACTTCCCTCGCAGCTGCGGTGGATGGAGCTGGCAGCTGCGGGGTGTGTGGTGTCGCAGTGTGCTGCGCACCCACATCATCAAAAATCGTCTCTAATCTACGGACGCGAGACCGCGTCATCCTATTTGCTGTGGTAACCATGATAGAGAGACAGGGGAAAGGTCGAGCTAAACAGGGTGGTGATGTAAGAATTGTCACGGCGGCCAGATACTCTGTAGAAGTCTCAGCTGAACAGATTGAAAATCACAGGTCGTTAGCGGAAGTTTGAGAGCGGCCAAGATTCGCAACGTGTGGAGCGTCCTTGCCAGGGCCAGTGGCGCACGATGCAGATCAACTCTCGCCGCGACGATACTGCTGCAAAATAAAAAAAACAATCCGTCACAAACCGATCTCCTGCGCAGCGAAGGCGAGCACAACGCGTGCCGCCATCACTGCCATGTCAAAAGGCCATACCGCGAGAATGATACACCACCGCCCAAGTGGGCGCTCAACCCCTCCTACGTCCTACTTAGCCGAACATGGCAACAACAAGGCGCTGTGCCATCATCAGAATCACCGGAAAGCCGGTGCGGGCCATAACCTGCGAGAAAGACAGATCCGCTGTCCGGCTAAGCTCGCTGAAGCATCAAACTGATAATCACATAAACAGTGTCTGGCCGAGGCTTTATGCTCTCGGAAACCCAGACAGTGAAACAAGACTGTACTACTGTACTGTACTACTGTACAGTACAGTGCTAGGATGTCACGGACACGATACGGAAGCAGGGTCAGGCTAGGGGCTAGTCAGAGCCCATAATAACTAAGCCTAAACCCGAAGTCCAGCAGCGGGACATGCCCTTCACCGCCCTGGAGACTGCCCGGCCCTTCACAGGTCCGGGGAATCACATGTCCTCGTGGCAGTTGTTGATGGCAGACAGGTAAGGCTGCATGTTGGACGCCTGCATTGTGCCCTTGTCTAGCATGTGGCCAATGTACAACCCCGTTGCCGGAAGCCAATCCCTGCTCTCCGCCTCACAGAACGCCATGAAGGCCCGAGCCTTCGAAGTGCCCAAAATCGGCATTTCATGACGCAGCCGACGTACCCAGCATAAGTGAATGATCAGGGAGATTTGAAGTTTAGACTTTAGAGGCGACAAAAGAGGCGTTGGCACGGATCCCCTTGTATAGGATACCACGGTCCAGGTTTTTCGATCGCGCGAGAAAATCGCGATCCACGATTTCATCCTTTTACGAACTATTTCCTGCGTTAGTGGGAAATATTTCAGAGCAGTTTTTTAACCTTCCGCTCCGCTTTTTAACACTGTGGCAGTGGCATGGATATACCATATACCATAAAGTGCATATGCATGTTAGGCACCGCATATATAAGGCTGGGATGAACTCATATTGGCGAGAGGAACAATTTGATATGCGGGGTTTCGCATTCTGCCCAGTAGAATGGAAGATGCCTCATCTTCGTGGACCTTTTCAATTTTTTCCAACTTCTTGGATCAGCGTGGATCAGTTACAAGGACAACGGAATCTTGTTCGACATGTTCAAAATTGCCTAAAACCGTCGAGCTTGTTCGGGGGCGAGATGGGGATTTAAGCGCCAGAGTGCGTTAATTCGCATTCACTATCCCGCACCGGTGAGTTGCGGAATCGTGAGTGCATGTCCGAAACCGCATCAAAGTGTGCTTGTGATACCCCACGGGTATCACAAACACCAGAATAACTATGCAGGCTGTGTTTCCGTGCATAACAACACGAAACACAACAATTTTGCACTCACAAAGTAACTGTTGGAAACCCAGCGTCGGCTGTGGGGAAACGCTCGGACGGTGAACGAACGGATCAAGCTAAATTGTTATAGCACAAATAAATACCCTGAGTTTGTGACACTAGCTGGCCACCGAGGATGATCAACCGGATATGACACGTGACTGTATGACTAGTCACTGTGACAATTCCAGCACGAGTAACGTCGCAAACGGTCACAAACTTCTAGCGAGCTCTACCCTATTGAAGATGCTCGCGGATTGAGCCTTTTTCGCCTTGAGTGCACCAACACAAAGTTGGATATGCTTCCGCTTACCCAAGTGAAGCACGATATCGTATCGTATGTGCTCAAGAGCTCAATTGGCGCAATAGATCGCAAAAGCAACAATCATGTAAAAATTTAACCTATCTGGCCAGTGAGACACCTTCCGTTGACCAACACTGGGCAACTTTGACCGCGATTTCCGGAGCCGTCCGATGTCCAAATTCACTGTTGGGACCGGATTTCAGCATGGCGCACCCCAGTTTATATAGCCGCGAGGAAATTTTCATCCGAGAAAATTTTATCTGACCGTATTATCCCATACCTTGCCTCCCGCGGTTCAGAGGCGACAAAAGATGCAAAAATGCAAACATGCAAAAAATGTTTGTCACTCTGCAGAGGGGCTTTTTTAAGAGCGTGTGAAAAAGTGGAGTCGAGGGGCATCGATCCCCTTACCTCCCGCATGCGAAGCGGGCGCTCTACCATGTGAGCTACGACCCCGAGGGTTATGTCGGAAGTATCCCGGTCTAAGGGCTGGAGTCGAGGGGCATCGATCCCCTTACCTCCCGCATGCGAAGCGGGCGCTCTACCATGTGAGCTACGACCCCATACACCGTCCTTTTATAAATATTCAAGTGAGTGTGAAAAGTGGAGTCGAGGGGCATCGATCCCCTTACCTCCCGCATGCGAAGCGGGCGCTCTACCATGTGAGCTACGACCCCATATGTTTTTATATGACATTATAGCGCGTTTCAACCACACAAAAACACTGACTCAAAACTCACATCAACTTGTTGCAGTCATTTACATACTTAATAATAATGGCAGTGTTCACGTATTCAAATGTACTTACGCCGTGACAGAAGTTGCTCCAACTTACTAAATCCGTCGGTTCTAAGCGTTTCAATTGTACGTATGTGCCAATAAGTGCACGCTAACCCTCCTTTTCTCAGCCGACTCTCCACCTTGGGGCTATGGACGAATCCACCCAATGCGCCACATCCTCCGAAAAGGAACAAACTCCGGACTCGCATCCAGGTGTCCGCGGAGGGCCCGTGCCCCTTGATGTGTCGTCGACCCTGAAAGCTGAAACTGCATACCGAGAGGCACACCGTTCTTCCCGTTCAGCGATGATCCTGCCGTATATGATGCTGCAACCCTCACTTAACTTTTTGGCCTTGCACATTGAAAGCACTTATTTTGCTGCCCGCCCCCCGCCCCGCGCCCCCGTGAAAGTCACGAGTCCGATGTTATCGTCATTTAGCTGAACACAGATAGGCAGCGGTGACAGCGATTTCCCGCTGTTGGCACCTGTGCACTCTCTGAAGCTGCAACTTTTGCGAACGTCAATATGGACGGCATATGATGACATGTGGATAAGGTTCCCGCGCGCTCATCATATGCACTTTTTCCCGCGTGCGTGTTCCCACTTGCATTCGCAATCTCATAACGACTGGCTGCCTTCTCGCCCATGCGCTTCCTTAACCTCTGCTTGTGAATCTGCAGAGCTGTCCTCCCAGGAGCTCGATGCCTGCTGCCGGGTGCTTGACGTCGTCCTCGAAGATCTATCACAGTTTAACAAGCCCTCGCTCAAGGTTCTTCGGCCTAGCATACTGCTTACCCACGTCACGTTCGTCGACCCTGGAAGATCAGCGGCGCTCGCGTATCGCGCGCACGCATGCATATCCTCCTGTGGACTCTTGAAGTCAGAACACCATATCCGCAGGGTGCCACTTTCAACGCATGCTTAGGGCTCGCGCCGTGCTCTACAGGCGAGGAGGATACCTTGATACGGGCCGTTGACACCAGTGATATGTTAACGTGAGCCATGCATTAGGGTTTACACCGCCGACCGCTCATCCTCCGCACGACATCCATTTGGCCTAGGGTTTGAATAGCCTCCTCAGTCTTTGACACCCTCTTCCACTGAGGCCAAGGCTTCACACCACTTCCGACAGTCCAGGACCTCTCCTGAATCTGGCTAGGGAATACACCACTTCTAAGAGTCCGCAGCCGTTGATGAAAGGCGCGGAGGTTCGCTAGCGGGCATGATGAGGGCGACCTTTTCCTGTCCAATCGCTACCGGCTGTGCTGAAATGCTTTGGCTGTGGACTTTCCTCACGAGTTGAAAACAGCGTACTGAGGCTGGGGTCGCCTCAGAGCGGGCTGATCGCGACCTTTAACTCATTGGGAGCGATGCTGCACCGATCGCCGGCAAGTGCGATCAGCGGTCAACAATTTACTGCATGCTTAGGACACTTCACAGTGACCCACGGGCTATGACTTATGAGAGGTTCGTGAGGGGACAAGTGTGCCGTTGCCCGAAGGGACTTGCTTGTAATGCTGCTGCTGTCGACGTGGCGGGAGCAGGGCCTTCGCAAACGCCTACACACTTTTGCGCAATACTTGGGATCTGGCCACAAATACGGGAAGACGGCGGATGAGTATCAGAGCCGCCGAGAGAGACTAAAGGTGTGCTTGCTTTCCCTGTAACGCGCTAACCGCCCTGTGGGCGCCGCCTGCTCCCCCTCTTCCGCACTAACAGAGCCGCCTGCTCGCCCTGTGAGGCACTCAGGGGTTCACGGGCGCCGCCTGCTCTCGCGCAGGCTCGGAACAGACAGCAGATGCAGGCCAAAGCCCACGATCGACAATTCATCAACAACACACAATTGCGCGAGGGTCGGATCCGACGGCTCGAAGCCCTCAAGGTGCACCCGCGCAGAAGCAGGGCTCCCTCTCTGTGCCCCTCGCCCTCTCAGAACTTCCGTTCTGGAAGATGCCTGTGATCTGCACCAGCAATCTGCCCTCTGAATACCTCAGGATTACGGTATGGGGGTGGTGAGCATTGTGCGGCGTGTGGTCACCGTCAGGATGATGGCCGCCTTGAACATGAGGCTTCCCTGCAGCTGCTGGTTCCAGATGGGGTGCCCCTCCTCGACGGTCCGGCTGCAGCTCCTGACGCAGCTGTCATTCTCAGTGCAGCTGGTGAGGCTGAACTCCATGTTTCCCGAGAGCTCTCACGATCTGCATCCCTCGATGAGCTCTCACGATCTGCATCCCTCGATGAGCTCGGAGAACCTATGGACACGTGGGTGCTGGCATGTAGCAGCGGCACTCCTCTGCACTATGATAGGATCCGAAGTGTCACCCTGCACAGCAAGTGGTAGCAGCATGTGGTAGGAGTATGACGGGGGTTGAGGCTGCACCGGTCACACCCTAGTGGTGAAGACGAGGCGGTGTGGTTTTTGGGGATGGCTGCTGGACGCGGCGGCAAGCAGGGGACCCGCACGAGGCAGAGAGCATTTGGCCTGCTGCGGCGAGCGCGCCGGAAGAGCCGGTCGCGCGGCCCTGCGCAGGGGCAAGCTGCGGCGCCGCCGCCGACACAAGCCTCGACAGGATGGTGGAAGGAGTGCAGCTTCACAACGCCCGGGCGTGCTACGCCTGCAAGTGTCGCTTCACTCAGCTGCACTTCTTTTATGACCAGGTGACATCTATGACCAGGTGGTCACCTCCTGCTGCAGCGGACGCGCTTCCATCGATCCCAGGGATGCCCCCGCGATCTTTTCGCGGCAGTCCAAGTCGCTGATCCGTGCCGCCGCCGCCACGTGGCGGACCAGTCTTTTCCCTTCCTCGGCATTTATCCGAGGGTGTAAGACGGGGTGGGATGGGATGGGGGGTAGGGGCGCAGCTTTGCCCCGCATGCGCCGAGCTGAACTACCATAAGCGGACGCAGACCGCCGATCTGAGTGGGAAGGTGGCTGTGGTCACCGGCGCCCGAGTCAAGATCGGCTATCAGGCACGGCTGGGCACCTGCCTTAGATAGCCGCCTGCCTCGCTGCCATCCAAACCTTCTTTGTCAGGACTTGGGGGGCCCTGGGCTGGGAGGAGTAGAGGGCTGCGGGGTACAGGTTGGGCTTCAACCTGCGGGGCCCAGAGGGCATTGGAATTTGGGCTGGCGTGAAGCTGGGGGGCTAGAGGGCAGTGAGGCTGGGGGGCCTAGAGGGCAGTGAAGCTGGAGGGTCTGAAGACTGGGGGGATAGAGAGTGATTGTAATGAGGCAGCGTTGTCTGCAGTTGCCACATACTGGAGGATTGTGTTGAATGCGATACAACGGTTACAATGCATTGGTCGGGGTGTTGGACAGGTCGGGCTGAAGCTGCTTCGCTGTGGTGCAACGCTCGTGGCCCTCACCCGCTTTCCTCAGGTGCCCCGCCTCTCAGTGGCTTCTCTCAAGTGCCCCGTGTCTACTTCCCTTAATTTTGCAGGAGCCCCGCCTCTGATTGGCTTCGCGCAGGAGCCCCGCCTCTGATTGGCTGCGCACAGGAGCCCCGCCTCTGATTGGCTTCGCGCGGGAGCCTCGCCTCTGATTGGCTTCGCGCGGGAGCC